GTCCGAAGGGATTTTCGCTTACAATGTATTTTAGTTAGTGTATTTATTAATTTTTAAATGTAAATATGTAAAGGATAAATAAATAAATATTTTTTTTACATTTTGTCAAATTTCTCGAATACGGACCATTTAAGGAAAATTTTGTATAGAAAAGAATTTTCTTCTCCAAACGTAAATAACAGATACATTTCGCGCGCGCGCGCGCGCGCGCGTGTGTGTATCCACCATAACTCATGAACCGATACACAGAAAAACACCAAATTTTAAACTTAAGCTTTATTCCAGCGTCCAATGAACTGATTAGATTTTGGGCAGAGTCGGAACATCTGGGGGGTACTTTATAGGTGGTCATTTTTATATTTTATGGAATATATCTGTTATTTACGTTTGGAGAAGAAAATTCTTTTCTATACAAAATTTTCTATAATTTTTTTTCTATACAAAATTTTCCTAAAATGGTCCGTATTCGAGAAATTTGACAAAATGTAAAAAAATATTTTTTTATAAAAAATTTTCAAATAAAAGTTGTTTGTAATATAATTCTCTATAATTTTTATTCTATACATAATTTCTCTAAAATGGACCGTATTCGAGATATTTGAGAAAATGTGTAAATTTCGAATTTTGAAGAAAACTCAAAAACGGGTAAATAAAAAAACATTAAATTTTAAACTTAAGTTTTATTTTGGCCTAACGTAAAATGAGTAGATTGTGGACAAAGTCGGAACATCTGGGGGGTACTTTATGGGGGACCGTTTTTATATTTTATGGAATATATCTGTTATTTATGTTTGGAGAAGAAAATTGTTTAAATAAAAGTTACTTCTAAGTAATATTATTATCTATAATTTTTGCTTTATGTCAAAATTTCCTGAAATGGTACGTATTCGAGAAATTTGACAAAATGTGCAAAATTCTGATTTTTTCAACTAAAAGTTGTTTGCGATATTGATATCTATAATTTTTGTTTATACATGATTTTTCTAAAATGAACCGTAATGGAAAAATTGTAGGAAAAGTGCTAAATTTAAATTTTTCAGTATTTTCGTTTTCAATGAATATCTATAGAAAAATGTTTCGAGGTAGATGTATGTGGAAAATCTATATATTTTTTAGTTTATTCTCTAAACATTTATAGAGGTGCTGCAATAGGTTGTACAAAATAACCGGAAAAAAGCCTATAATAACTAGATAGGACAGTCATGTGTTGGACACATCAGATTTTTTTAATTTAGGCGTGGAAGAGGAAGATGGAGAGGAAGTTGAAGGAGTGGGGGGAGTAATTTCTTTATCGTTTTTCGCGATCCTATATCCGTTTATGTAATAGGTTCCAAATTAAAAGATGCTCATGTTCGCTATAGGCTAATTTTATTAGTCAATTATAATTCATAACTGTGAAAAAAATACTATTTTCAAATTTTTTTATTGAATACACTAAAACTTGTCAATAGCTACTAAACAAAATAAAAAAAGAAAATCTCTGCCTATACATATTAGATTATACTTGTAATTAAATTAGTTTTATATATGTACTTAAGTAATCCACCAATTAAAAATCATTCTTTCCACGACGCCACCCGAATTACTCCGACATTTCTATCCTACGCTCATCTCCGCGTAAGTGAATCATCATGGACCGCCGTTTTTTGAGTTATTTGTTGGTGTTATTAGCAATTTAAAATGTTTTAGTTATTCAATTTCAAGTTGAATTCGAGAGACGCTAAAATGGTGGTTCCCACCTTATCGAGACTGAGCCCCACAAGGCTAAACTCGTAGCGTAACAAAAACGAGAAATAATTTAACTTGGAACGAAAGACCGAAAGCCGATAGTAGTATTAGGAGGTTGAATTTTTTGGTTTGTGAAGCATTGGCATTAATTAGGTCAAACCATATGATGATTTTCATAAGCCTTGATTTTTAAAACCATTCTTTATCGCCTTTTGATTAGGGTTTACAAACTTGTTTGAGCAATTTATTCAACAATAATTGGCCCCTTTACCTCTTAAGCCTGCTCATGTAAAATATTTGGGCTCCTTACTTCGCCTATTTATATAATATTAATAAAGGACAGAAGGATGAGTATTGCAAATATGTTAAAAGAAATAAATTGGCTTTCAGTTCAGAATTATGTTCAGTACATCACTGATATTTATTTATAAAATAAATAATGACAGTACCATCGCATCAGATCTATTAGAAAAAATTCAATATAATTCGAAATATCACAACTAAAATACAAGAAGCTAATCTGACTTTCATGTATGGCAAGCCATCACTAAAAGTTCCCAAAATACAATTTTTATTAAAGGTTTAAAAAATTTAATAGACTGCCTACAGAAATTAAAAAAAAAACAATAAATGTATTCAAAAGTAACCTCAAACAATACTTGATAAATTAACAGAACGGATATACTTTCTTGTAATAATACTCTTTAAACCTGCCCTTTTTAAGTATTTCCCTTAATTTATTGTTATTTTACCCCTCGTTTTACCCGCATTTATTATAAATTATTTCTATTTTGAGATCATGTACTTTATTTTTAAAAATTACTTGATGTTATAATAATACTACTTACTATGTTTAAATTATTAATAGTTTTGCAACGATAGGTTATAGCAACTTATAGCCACAAAACTATTTTTGTGTTAAAGTAGATCTATATAGAGCAATGTAATTAAAGGCCTTCTTTCAACATACAAATAAATGACAACTTTATAATTAAAATAAAAAACACAACAAAATACCTCGGTACCAAGGTAAGAAGATTCATTTTTAAATTTTATTTATTGAGGAAATTTATGACTAGACGTTTACTAATTATTATTTACAATTCGCTGGTTGAATATGTAATCCAAAATCGTATAATAAAAATTTTCTACAAAAAACCAGCATTATATCCTACCTTTGTATAAGAACATTATATTATCTATCTTGCTGTACCTTTATGGAAAGCCTGAATTGAGATATACTACAAATTATTTGCAATAAATATCAGAAGAAGTATACATTTTTAAATAATTTGACATTTAAGAGCCATTCACACATCACAGTTGACATCTTGATACGTGACAGGCACAGCCAAGCATTATTTGTATTTTTGCCAAATAAAATGGCCGGTTAATTATTCTATGGGGTTGCGACAGAGAGCCAATAAATTGGATGAAGGTGTTTTTGTGGCTAGGGGCGAAATAGTAGTACGCTTAAGTTAGCACCACCATAAAAAAGTCATTTTTAAGAAACTGCTTATATATTTTTCATAAATTGGCAGGCTTGGCTACTAATTTCGAATAAAAATAGCCTCCAAAATGGCTATGATTGCAAGTATGAAGGTTTTTACCTTTACTACAAACAGCTGTTGTTTGACAGGTCGTTAGAGAATGCAATTTATGGAATTTTAAAAATGTTAGGAATGTTTACTTAGAAATAATTAAAATTCCTAAAATTGTAACATAAGAAATGCATATGCGGATTTTAAGAAAATTGATTATAAAGTAGTTAGGATGAACCGAAAATTCTGAAAATCAATAGGGTTCTAAGTTAGAAGTAATTATTCAAGAAAATCAAAACCGCAAGTCAATCAGAACTTTCGTTCTAGAGTTATCGTGCCGGCATACATACATACAGACGACCAGACGAAATTTTTTTTTGCATTTTCGGACTCAGAATGATCGGAAAACTTTTAAAAAATGGGGATTAGAAAATTTTTTCGTCTGTACGAATGCAATACCGAGGAACCATAGGAAGGGCCTCAGTAAAATGCTACGGTGTATCGTAAAAAATTGTATATAGTTATAAGATGAAAAATAATAAATATATTTGTTTTCAGCGATAAATATTTATTAACGTTTTGACATAAAGACGCCATGATACCAATAAATATTAAGCATCGAATATTTTTCTGAAATCAGATTTCCTAAGTACATAAATTTACAGAAGGGCAAAATGTTAAACATTTAATTTAAATAAGAAGCAAATAGACATTGTTGCTAACGAAATTTAGTTTTTAAAAATAGTTTTATAAGAATTTGCTCAAGGTGATTTTTAGCCCATTTTGGTAGACAAATAAGAAGTAAAAAAGCATAATTGCTAGCGAATTTTTCCTAATTTTTAATATTATGTTATAGCAGTAGAAAAAATATAATTTTCAACTCACGAGGTTTGATTTGCGGTATTCGCCTGCGCACATGCTGCTATAATACTCGTAGACGTGAGTACCATTCCTTGCTCGATGGACATAATTTTATTTCAACATTTTATTGTAGTCCGTAGTAAATAAACGCTAATGAAATATTCTATAAAAGAACTTTTGTCTTCTCTTTACATAAAATATCATTCATCTCTTTGATATTAAAAATCACGTTAATTTTATTTCATAATACATGTCATTAGACACCTTTTTAGTAAATCTAATAGTTCATTATGATGGGAATAATAAAATCCCGTCCCTGTCACAAAGTTCGGGTCTCCTCCCAGTTCCCCCACTCCGTTAACCTCTCTTTAGAAATTGGCAACATTCGCGTAGGTTAAAACACTGGTGTGTGTTACATATCTGGTCTCTTTAATCTAAGGGTGTCCCAAATATGAACTGTGATTGGAGGATTTTAATTTTTTGCAGTGTTCTCACTACCTAGAATGAATATGAAATATATTTGTTCAGATAAACGCAAAAGCATACTTTTTCGTTGTGTGGTCTGTGCGTAGATAAGCTAATATCCACGTGAGTGTAGAAACATTTATTTATTTTTTAAAAGTATTGGAATGACCCATGCCTTCTGTTGTGTAAGAATTTAAACTAAATCTAAAACTTAACGTCAAGTTTGAATCGACTTGTATAAATAACATTCTAAAGTAACAGTATTTTCAACGGCTAATGACTATCGTATTCATATTTTATTACTTTTAATTGTGACGTAAATGAAACATCCCTTCTTCCTCACTTGCGGTCTTCAACTTCGATCTACTTAAATCCCCTCTTCGACTTTTTCTTCTTCAAGAGTGACGGTCACGGTCAACACTACCAAAGGAGGTCAGTCTTCAATAACCAACAGATTCTTCAATTCAAAAGAAAAATTATAATAAACGTTATGAATTATTGGATTTTGTGTTGTGTACTTTTAGCCGCAATTGTATGTGCGGCGACGCAAAATTGTAAGTATCAACATTAATAAACAAGTCAACAAATTTGTACCGATTTTAATAAACTAAACGCACTACTTTAAATAGGTAAATCAAATTTTATTAATTTATTTGATGTAAAATGGCTTTGTAGTTGATTATTAATCTACAAATTATGCTTCTTCATGTGCCAAAAAATACTTAAATCAATTTTAATAATATAGAATATCTATAAATATCACTTTGCCAAATTATTTACAGCTAAGAAAAGAAATTAATATTCATCCTAGTTTTAGAATGAGTCTTATTAGCATTTTTAATATTTTTATTTTCTATTCAAAAGTAATTGTCACAAATTTGTGTAGACATAAATTAATTTAAATAGCTTTCTTTTTTGATGAAAATTTGTAATAAAGTGAATTTGTATTTAATCTTTTTTTTAAACAAATAAATTAGAAGCTGAAACAAATTCCTAGGTACATGATTTTATTTAAAACTTAAATTATACAAGTTATTTTTAAAATAATCTGTTTTTTAAAATCAGTTTTTTGGTATATATAAAATAGCATAAAAAGTAGATACAAATATTCTTATATTTTTGTAATTAATAGTAAATAGTATGCATTTTAATTAATCAAGTAGTAATCTTTAAAGGATATGTATACCCTGATAAATATTATGCTCATTCATAAATAAATAAATTTGTTGAACATTCTATAATCAAAGAGCGAAGATTTTTTTTTTTTTAATTTTAAAAATACATTTTTTATTTATTTCATAAAAATGAGTCCAACATTTTTACAGAATATTCCAAACTTCATTAAATATTTTAGGTAATCGTTTCTGAAAATATCCAATAATAAGCTAGATATGATTCAGTGAAAGTGTGAAAGTGTTCGAGTGTTTTGTGTTTAAAGCAATTAAATAACGTTTTAAAAATACCAGCCTGTACAATTATTTGGAATTTAGATGTTTTTTTTTTATGTTTCGTATCAAAGTAAGTTTGAAGTTATGAAGTTATAAACAATTATTTCTACTACTACACGACAGCGTACAAGTTTCCTAGTAACACATCAGTGTAAATAAGTACACATCAGATTTAGTAGGGCATTATTACTGAATGTTATTAATATTTTGATAAACCCACTAAATTTACAAAATTGAAAAAGAAACATGTAAAACAAAAATCTGATGTGTCCAACACATGACTTTCCTATCTAGTTATTACAGGCTTTTTTTCGGTTATTTTGTACAACCTATTGTAGTACCTCCGTGAATATTTAGAGGTTAACTTAATATATACATTTTCCATATAAATCTAACTCGAAACATTTTTTTATATACACTCACTGCCAACGAAAATGCCGAAAAATTTAATTTTATACTTTCCCTCCAATTTTTCCATTTATTTTACAGAAATAATGTACAAACAAAAATTATAGAGATCGATATCGCAAACATCTTTTAGTTCAATTATTTTCTTAAAAATCAGAATTTTTTACTTTTTGAAAAATTTCTCGAATACGGACCATTTTAGGAAAATTTTGTATGAACAAAAATTATAGAGAATATTATTAGAAGTAATTTTTATTTAAAGAATTTTCTTCTCCAAACGTAAATAACAGATATATTTCATAAAATATAAAAATAACCCCCTATAAAGTATCCCCAGATGTTCCAACTCTGCCCAAAATCTAATCAGCTCACCTCAGGTCGGAATAAAGCATAAGTATTAAATTTAAGGTTTTTTCTTTATCCGTTTTTGAGTTTTCTTCAAAATTCAAAATTTACACTTTTTCACAAATATCGGTCCATTTTAGAGAAATTATGTATGGGTCAAGAATTATAGAGAATTATATCACAAACAAGTTTTAATTGAACAATTTTCATAAAAATTTTATTTTTTAAATTTTGTCACACGCGCACGCACGTTAGAAGTGAGACTTCTCAAAACAAAACATGTTTTTAATTTTAAACATTCATTATTACTCGAATTCAACTCAACTCTACAACTGAACATCGATGAATTTTTTTTATCGGCTTTCCATGTTGCAGTTATTAATATCAGAGCACTCTCCAGATACAATTTGTATTCAAGAGTCAAATCTTAAACCTACTTAATCTTGAAGTACTAAGAAGTACCACTGTTTTAGAAATGATAGAACTGATGCAAATCGGGCTAGCGGAGGCGTAGCGGTACTAATAAATAAACCTATCGAAGCTAAATAAATTCCCATTAGTACTAATTTAGAAGCCATAGCTGTCAAAGTAACAATTTCAATTTGCAACATATATCTTCCCCCAAATAACAGTTTGGAAATAAATACATTGGGTGATTTAATCGAAAAACTGCCATACCCCGAGCAGGAACACTTACAGAAACTGCCCTGGTGCAGCTGACTGGACGTAATCCAGGATGCACTGACAAACGAAGAAACAAGAAACGATCGTGTGTGCTTTCCTAAACATAGAAGGAATATTTGACAATACGCCACACGAATCTGTCAAAAGAGCATTTACATACAGAGGAGTAGATAGTACCACCACATCCAGATGAATGACTCAGCTGCTATCTACGAGAACTGCAGAGATACAGTTAGGGCATAAATAGAACATCAGACGACACTACTACTGTTTAGCTGTCGTACAAAATTTTCTCAACAACAGGTCTATTCAAGTAAATATTCAAGACTCGTACTCTAACTCTCAAACACTACAAAACGGTATGCCACAAGGTTTGATTTTAAATCGTACATTGTTCATAATTTTCATAAATGACATTATTGAAAAAATAGAAAACCCTTAAAACCTTATGTATATGCCGCCCATCTAATCATATTTAACAAAGGCAAAGGCTTACCATTAATATCAACCATATACAACAGTTTTTAGGAAACTTGGAGCAGTGGTCCCATCATACAGGTTTTTATTTCTCAGTTACAAAATCTACTGGAATTATTTTTTTTAGTAAACCTACGGGATATAATCCAAACTTAAGGCTTTATGACAAAAGCTTAAAATTTACTTCGCACCATAAATTTTTAGGAATAATATTCGATGATAAACCTACCTGGAAGGAACACATGAAAGAGTTAGGACAATATTACAACAAAAGACTTAATACATTAATATTATTGGAATATACTCCAGGTCCTTAAAGCTAAACATAAAATAAGCTGTGAGCAATAGTATCAGTGTACTTCAAACAGAGCTTTTGGGGATTCTCATAGCAGCAAAAGAAATCACCAGAAAGAATATCACTGGAAGGAACATGCTCAACTATATAGATAGCAGACAAGCACTATTCACCCTGAACAGATCACGAATTTACTCAGGGTTAGTACTAGAATGTCACGAAGCTTTGGCCAAAGTATTTATCAACAATGAGGTCACCTTAAGATGGATCAAAGGTCACGCCACATCGAAAGGTAACCGCCTTGCTGATTCATTGGCCAAGAAAACAGCCAACCAAATACTTTTTGGACCTGGTCCTTCTACTGGCCTGACAAAATCGGTGATGACAGACCTAGTTAAAGAACATTCCTTTGTAAAATTCAAGGAAAGATGGGATGAAACAAGAAACTGCAGAGTTGCCAGGGAGCTTTTAAGTTATCCTACAGCAAACAAATACTTGAATCTGCGCTTAGTTAGAGGCATTCTGACTGGTTATTGCTAAATATGGAAGCATCACCATAGCATGGGGTTGTCAGAATTCACACTCTGCAGAGTAGAAGCTGGCTCTGTATCGTCGCTTATAATCATTAGTAGTAGATATACCGCTAGAGAATCGTGAGTGCATGGGCACCCTGAACGGCCGATTCCAGATCCTTCTACAGATAAACACAGGTGAGTCTGTTTGAGCCATCAAATATTCTTTTCAACCCTCTAACCGCCGCAATTTGTGTTCGGCGAGTATTGGCTAACACCGGCCGAAATAAGAGAAGCACCACTTGGCGACGTTGTCAACTACAATAAATCTGTATGCTGGCTCACGAGCTAGGAGGTGCCTATCATCTTAGTATGGACAATGGACCTAGTGAGGCCTAAGTTCCGTGGGATAACCCGCCCTCCACACGTTACAGGTACAGATATTAAAAAGACTAGCGAAATAAAACTGGGGCTCAGATCAAGCTACTTTCCTTTTTTGATCTTTGATCCGTTCGAAAATCGATATCGGTTCAATTTTCTATACAGCAGCTAGTCAATCACTTCTTCGTTTACTAGACGTTATACACAACAAATGTCTCGGGATAGTTTCCGGTGCCTTCCGAAACCCGCCAGTTCTTAGAATCTATAAGGACGTATCTAGCTCACAATGGTATCTATTCTTAAATCTCAGGGAGTAAAAATTTTGAGGGAAGAATGAGACAAAAATACAAATTTTGTGCATTGCAGATAAAGAACAAAAACCGATTTTCTATTTCTATTCAAGAATAGCTACTCATATCACATGCATTCTCAATTATTTCTGATATCTCTAAAACTCTATATCGCAATGCCTTTACTGATAAATATCAAAACTTTTTTCCGGAAAACCTGTTGTCAAAAACCTTACTACGAAAGAATAACAACCTGTCTAAAATGTATAAACATAAATCATTTTCTCAAAGTGTTTCCGTCCACCCTTAACTATCCGCAACCATAAATATCTCAAAGTACAACACAGTACTAACGTTCTTCGATAAATCAAACACCAACAGCAAGTTCAACGAAATTTTACCCATATTTACACTGGTGCATTTAATCAAGTGACGGAGTAGGTGCGGCTTTTACCACATCCGGAAATAATTCTTTTCTTTTCAAATTCCCTCTTCTACTGGAATATACTCTGCGGAGCTTTATGCTATTTATCGGGCTGTCGTTCACATTAATAAACACTATATTCCTAAAACTGTTATTTTGACTGATTTTCTTAGTTAAGTTCGATTGAATCCCTACAACGTATTTTCCTGAAACATCCTTTCGAAAAAATAATGAAAACAAGAGAATAGAACAATGATCAGGTTTATGTGGATACCTTCACATATAGGAATACATGAAAACAAAGAAGCCGATGTACAAGCGCGTCTGGCAGTGACCAGTGATATATCGGACTTAGAAGAAAACTGTGTTGCCAGTGATTTTGAAAATAAGTTAGTGTATTTGTGGCAGCAAGATAGGAATCGATCGCTGTCTAAACTAAGTGAATTTAAAAATATGTGTTACCATTGATACCATATTCTAGCAGTCGGCGTAAGCAGGCTGTGATTTCTTATTATTTCATTCTTATATTTTTAATAGAATGAATCCTAATAACTGTGATGAATTTAACAAATACAGGCAAGAACGGCAACGTTTTAAAATTACACCTATCTTATCAGAACTTCTAGGTGAATCATGTCCCACAGCAGAGATATTCTAGTTGAATACATATCTAAAATTCATCAGTATTTTTCCTAATTGCTGTAGATAAATTTTTTTCACTTATCATTTTGGAAAAAAAAAATGACATAGTTAAAAATTATCTACGCAGCTAAGAAAAAAATCTCCTACAATGCGAATTGTATAAATTCTCAGGAAGTTTTTCAGAATCAGAATACAGTGAGTAATAATATTAAGAATAAAAATCAACCTCTTTGAGTCAGACAATTCTGACAACTTTTGGCCATTGTTGCTAAATGCACCATACTCATCTCCCATTTTACACAATGTTTATACTATTTTCATACTGTGGCCATAGTAAATAGCAATCATAGCACAGCTGTAGTGAAAAATGGAATAAGAAATAGAACGCCATTCAGACAAGAGTTCTGCAAATTGCAAATAAAGTGTTAAATCAACAAAATTTTAATGTCTCATATTGTCATATTTTCACATATTTAATAACATTTCAAATAGAAAACCATACTTTTCTGTCATTAGATCTGAGGACTATTGTAGTGTTGTAGACATGCTCCATAACATGAAGTTACATTTTTAGTTACTTTTCCTTGTGTTAATGCGACTTTTCAATTCGTTCCTCCTAGTTTAAAAGCAGAATCTACATAAATATCTCAATTGATTTCTAAAGTTTAATTTTTATGCTGTAACTAAGTAAACTGTATTTATTATTGTGTATATATTTTTTTAGATTATTACGTAAAGAAATGCCATAAAGATGATGAAAATGTGAACAATTGCCTCAGGCAATCAACAAACTTCCTTATTGCGAATATTAGAAGAGGGATTCCCGACTTGGATATTTATGATCCAGAACCAATCCTTATTGACCATATACAGTTAGCTCTAGGAACTGGTCCAGATGGATATAGAGCTACATTTAGAGATATAGAAGCATATGGTGTCAGTAATATTACCGTTACAGGAGTCAGGTAAATAAATTTAAATGGCAATTCCACTTTATTTGTCTTGGATTTTTTAAAATACAAGTCGTAATTGTAATTATAGGTCATTGCCACCAGGATTCTGCGCAGTAGATTATTAGGATCCCATTTTATATACTGCGCAGAATCCTGGTGCAATGACTGGTTCTGGATCGTTGTTGGAACAAACCTTTTGTAAAATACGTGCGATCTTGAGCATTATACAGAGTGGCCACTTTTTAATTAAAATATATTGTTATCTCGCAAACCATTGGTAACACATGGTTGGTTAAATGGGGAAATAGTTGTATATTTTGAAAACCAATCTGATGACGTTTTAAACACTAAAATATAAGGGCTAGTTTCCGAGATATTCTAATAAAAACAAATTGTAAATGTATTCCACTACATTACGTATTAACAATTTTTGTTGTACATTCTAAAGCGCATTTAATTTTTTTATCCTATATTTTGTAAATGCAGGACCACTGTCAACATCTTTATTTGAATATGGACCAGTGTTATTCTGACAGATCATTTTAATGTATGCTCAATGTTGAATACAATGTGTATCAACATATTGTGCTTGCTCAACATTTCGGAAGATTTGAACACTATCAGCTAATTTTATAAATACAGATCTGAATAATCTGAATTTAAAATATTTGCGAGGATACTTTCTCTTTGCTGCCGATAATTTTGTGGAAAATTTAAAGTAGCTTGTGTGCTACTATAATTTTTTTTTTCACACCGAAATTTCTTTTTATTATTATCCGATCGACGGCTGCTGAGTAATATTCGGAAAGAAATTTTTTACTATAGTCCGAGAAACTTTTAAGCTTTAATTGAAACCGAATTTTGGATAACGCCAAAAATTTTTGAATTTTATGAGAGAATCTAGATTTGTTTTAGAGCGGTCTGGCTTCGAAGACGGAACTTTTTAAAACCGCTACTAAAACTTTAATAAAAAGCGAATTTTGGATCACTCGTCAAATTTCTGAACTTTCGTAGGAGAACCCAGATTTGTTTTATTGCGGTCTGGCTTCGAAGACAGAACTTCTTGAAACTTAACTTCAATTGAAACCGAATTTTTAATCCTCTAATTGGAAAGCGTACAGAATGAGTTTAATGAAATTATAAGAGATCTTTCAACTTTAAAGAAAGAAGACTGGGTTTTGGTGGAATTTGTCACGAAAAAAACTTAAAACAATATGTTGGCAAAGTTTTGGAATTGCAGTCAGACCAAGTTTTAATACAGTTTGCTAAAAAAATTTAGACTTCCACTAGAACATCTTTATTTAAGTTTCCACCCGTGGAAGATGTAGGATTTATACCCGAAAATGACATCGTTAAATTACTACCTCAGCTTGTAATACTGTGCAATAAACAGGTTTTTTAGTGTGTTTCTTAGTTTTTTAGTTTTGTTGTTCGAGTTTATAAGTTAATAAATAATAAACTTATTTAAATTCTGTACAGAGCATTTGATTTCTACACATTTCAAACTAAAACAATTGAAAATAAAAGGTGGTGCCGCTCTTACCCCAACTACCTGGGGTAAGTGCGACATTTTGTCATAAAAATAAAAAATGGACCATCAAGTAAAAACACCTTTTGTAACCTTCATTTTACCGAGACCCTATACAGTTTGAAGGTACCTACTGCACAGATTTTACAGATCTTAAATTCAACTTCTCCTGCCGAAGTGGCATCACCTTAAAGTTGAACTAGTCAAATTTCTGTACGCACTTACCCGAATTTACCTTATCTTTTTTTTTTTTTCAGAATAAATTGATATAAAATTTGATGTATTTTTCTTATAGATCTGATATAAATACTCATCAATACCAATTTACAATGTACATACCAAAGATAACTGCCAAAGCACGATATGAATCTAGTGGAGTTTTAATATTAGTACAAGCATCAGGAGGAGGAAACTATTGGGGTGAATACGGTAAGTATATTTCCAATTAATTTATACAGAAAAACATCGTTTTCAGAGAATTACACTTGCATTGAAAGGGTAATTTATTTTTCAATGAACCATAAAAACGACGATGTTTTGACCAGTTTATATTCAAAAATATTTAAACTATTTAAATTTGGTACAATCAGTCACCACCTAAGTTATATTTTTTAAAGAACTTTTAAAATATCGACTAATAGTTCATGTTACATATTGTAATATTAGTTGGTAGCAATGTATTATTATACACGATAATAATAGGTTGGTACCACGACAAGAGCAGTCAAGAATGTCAGCATGAGCATGTCAGGTTTACAATAAAGAAGGTTATGAAGGTTCCGGCTTTTTATTTAAATCAAGTTAATTCCTGAATCATCTTCAAAGATAAATATGAAACATGGTGTCAGAAGTAAAAAAGAGGAGCCCGTAAATAGCTGAGATACATTATTGGAGAAATCTACAAACGATAAAAGAAGTGAGGTTAAAAAGAAAAAAAAAATGGATTTTAAACAGCCAAGTCCAATAGTATTTGACCAAAATTTAAGTAAAAACTATGAAAAGTTTAAACAAAAGCTCGAGATATACATAGTAGCGGCCGGTCTTGAGAGCAAGACGGACGAGCGCAAGGTTGCAATATTCCTTAACTGTGCAGGAGAAGAAGCCCTAGATGTTTTTAATACGCTAAACTTAAGCGAAGAAGACAAAAAACAATATCGAAAAGTAGTGGAAGCATTTGATAGTTATTGTAAGCCAAGGTCAAATGAAACATATAATAGGTATGTGTTTTTCTCGAAGGCACAAGCAGAAGGAGAAAGCATTGAAAGTTATACAAAAACATTAAAAGTTTTGGTAAAGAATTGCAACTTCGGAGAGCAACAAGAGTCACTAATTAGAGATCGTTTGGTACTAGGAGTTAATGATGATCAGTTGCAAGCAAAGTTGCTAAGTAAAACTAATTTAAATCTAGAAATGGCTGAACAAATTTGTTTGAGCACAGAAGCGAATAAAAGTCAGCTGAAAGAAGTAATAAAACGAGAAGAAGTACGTGCAATAAAGAAAGAAACAGCCAAAAATACAATGAATGAGAAGTGGGCTGAAAGAAGAACTCAAAGTTGGAACAGAAGAGAAAATAATGAATCATTTGACTGTTGGAGATGTGGAAGAAGACACACCAGGGGAAGATGTTATGCGTATGGCAAAAAGTGTAATAAATGTGGTGAACTCGGTCATTTTGCACTTGCATGTAATAATAATAGAGGTAGTCAAAGACAGATAGTAAGAAGGTCAGTAAATGAAATCATTGATGAAGATGAAAATGAACTTTTTATTGAAACAATTTCTTTAGATAAGTTAGAGAGTAATAACAGTAAGTTAAATGAGTGGGAACAAATAGTTGTTATAGAGAATGAAATAATAGCATTTAAGATAGATACAGGGGCACAGTGCAATGTATTACCTTTAAAGTATGTTAAACAGCTTAACAAAGAAAAGGAAATAATAAGAACCAGTCAAAAAATAGTAGGGTATGGGGGAAACAAGATAGTTGCGTTAGGGTATATTATTTTGAAGTGTTTTGTTAAGTTAGTTGAGGTTAAGTTGAAATTTGTAGTTGTAAACCTTGAAAGCAAGCCCATTTTAGGTTTAAATACTTGTAGTAAGTTAAATCTAGTAGTGAAAGTTGGTGAGGTAGTCACAGATGAAAAACATATACTGAATGAGGCTGAAAAACATAAATTCAAGTTCATTAGTATGAATAAAGATATTTTTCAGGGGGAAGGAAATATTCCATTTAAATATAATATCAAACTAAAACCTAATTATCAGCCAGTTGTAAGTAGTTGTAGAAGATTACCAGATACAGTTAAGTCAAAGTTACAGGTAACATTAGATAGTTTAGTCAAAAGAAATATAATTGAAAAAGTACATGAACCGACAGAATGGGTTAACAATATTGTATGCATAGAAAAACCTAATGGGTCACTGCGACTTTGTCTTGATCCAATGCATCTAAACCAAAATATTTGTTTAGACAGACACCCTATTCCAACTGCTGAAGAAATAGGGCTAAAATTACAAGGAAAAAATATCTTCACAGTACTAGATATGAAGGATGGGTTTTATCACATAAGTTTAAACAGAGAAAGTAGTAAAATTTGTACATTTATAACTCCATTCGGGAAGTTTTGTTTCAAGAGGTTACCTTTCGGGTTGGCTTCCAGTCCTGAAGTTTTTCAGCGTACAAATGAGCAAATATTTGGAGACATAGATGTACAAATTTATTTTGATGATATCATTATTCCGGCAAAGAGTGAGAGGGAGCATGATGAGTTATTGGCAAAGGTTTTACAACGGGCTAGACAGTTTAATGTTAAGTTTAATGAAACAAAAGTACAGTATAAAGTCAAAGAAGTTAAATATTTGGGACAAATCTATTCAGGGGAAGGCGTTAAACCTGACAAAACATACATAGAAGCGATAGTGGCACTAGAGACACCTAATAATAAAAAAGAGGTAATGAAAATATTGGGTATGGCAAATTATTTGACAAAGTATATACCAGTGCTGGCAGAAATTGTAGCACCTATGAGAAAACTAGTTAAAAATAATGTTGAATTTGTGTGGACAGTTGATCATTCAGAGTCATTTCAAAAGTTAAAAAAGGTTGTAACCAATTTGCCCATACTTAAAATATTTGATTCAAGCAAACCGATTGTAGTTCAGTGTGATAGTAGTCAAAATGGATTGGGAGGGTGTCTAATGCAGTCAGGACAACCAATTGCCTTTTGTTCACGTAGCCTATCAGAATCAGAGAAACGGTATGCTCAAATTGAAAAAGAATATTTAGCAATATGTTATGCGCTTAATAAATTTCATCAGTTTGTTTATGGTAGAAAAGTGATCGTACAGTCAGATCACAAGCCATTAATAGGTATTCAAATGAAAGGGATTGACAAAATCACTAGTAGGTTACAAAGAATGAGGTTAAAAGTTTTAAAATATAATTTTGTGATTGAATACCTACCAGGTTATCGAATGTACATAGCTGATTTACTCAGTCGGTCGTATATTAAAAATAAAGTTGCGGACGATCCAAAAATGTTAGAAATTGTACATTGCTTAGAAGTTGAATATCCAATATCTAATGCGCGACTAGAGGACATAAAAAGGAAAACAAAATCTGATAATAGTTTTAGGGTCATTCAAGAATATAGTGTACAAGGTTGGCCTGATAGAGTTGTAGAAGACGGAGAGATACAAAAATACTATAAAATCAAAGATGAGATAATTTTAAAAAATGGAATGATCTTTTATAATAATCGAATTTGTATTCCCAAAGAGTTGCGATACCACATGTTACAGCAGTTACATAAAACACATGCGGGTATCGAAAAAACTAAAAATAGGGCCAGAAAGTTGTTCTATTGGCCAGGTATGACTGTAGATATTGAGAGGTTTATTGCAAACTGTAGAGTGTGTGAGCAGTTTAGTAGAAATAATGTTAAGGAGCCATTATTGCAACATGAGATGCCGAAACTTCCTTTTGAAGTTGTAGCATCAGATATATTAGATTATGGAGGTCAGTCATATCTAGTACTAGTTGATTTCTATAGCAATTGGATAGAGTTACATAAATTAAAAAGCAAATCAATGCAAGACATTTTGCAATGCCTGAAAATGATTTTTGCTGTCTTTGGGCTACCCCAAAAATTCTTGTCAGATAATGTTCCCTATAATAGCAAAATGTTTAGACAATTCTGCACTGATTATGATATAGAATGTATATTTTCAAGTCCGAGGTATCCTAAAAGCAATGGTCTAGCTGAAAAGGCCGTGGGAATATGTAAACAAATGTTACGAAAGTGTGTAAATGATGAGGAATTGTTCTATTTTCTACTAGAATATAGAACAACGCCTTTATGTGGCGTTAACAAATCACCCTCGGAAATTTTAAATAGTAGATTACTAAGAACTGTATTACCTGTTGATAGTGAGTTACTAAAACCAAAAGTAGTTGATGTGTATGAAAAAAAAGATTGAGAAACAAAATATGGTTAAACAAAATTATGATAATACCGCAAAAAATGGGCCTGTTTTTAAAAAAGGTGACAATGTATTACTGAAAATAAGAAAAGAAGATTTCTGGGAGAGGGGTAAAATAGTGGGTGCTCATCAAGCACCTAGGTCAATGATAGTGCAGAGTGAAAATGAAGGCACGTATAGAAGAAATACTTCTTTTCTTAAACATTCTAATAATAAAATGAAGGAAATGACAAGTGTAGTAAATGATGAACAGGTTGTTGATAAAAGTGAAAGTAGTGACAACAGTCAAATTTGTAACAATAAGGAACAAAGTGATGAGGACAATCTTGGCAAAGAGAAGGACAAAGATCAAGTTGATATAGACAATAGGGTTGCCACAAAGTCTGGTCGTGTTGTACGTAGACCAGCAAGATTTAATGATTAATACTCCATGTTGTGAGTTAAGAATGTCAAGAAAGTTTCGTGAAACAACCATAATATTGAGTACTTTAATGGTTACCTGTAAACAAAATAAAAATGTTTAGTTGTAAGTTCATATTTTGAGTTGTGATTTTTAAGAATATTGTAGAATACAATTTTTATAGTTTTGGGGTTACTTACTTTAGTAAGAAGGGGGGATGTTACATATTGTAATATTAGTTGGTAGCAATGTATTATTATACACGATAATAATAGGTTGGTACCACGACAAGAGCAGTCAAGAATGTCAGCATGAGCATGTCAGGTTTACAATAAAGAAGGTTATGAAGGTTCCGGCTTTTTATTTAAATCAAGTTAATTCCTGAATCATCTTCAAAGATAAATATGAAACAGTTCATAATTTTCACTTTAAAATAATAATAGGTAATAACAGCTAAAGTTTTCTCATATGAGAAATACTTGTTTAGCATTTTTTAAACATCTAAACAATAAAATAATAAGAAATGAAGCGAAAGGGTATTTAAAGT